TCAGCATAGATGAAACTCTCTGTCCCTTCTGGCAGTGGCTGGTCATTTGTGTAGATGTTGAACATGGATGGGGCAAGCACGCTCCCCGAGGCAGGCCGTTCTTCTGTTTCCGCCATCTGCTTCTCTGGCCTTGGAACTCAACAAAAAAGCTCCTGTTTTGTCGCAGATTTACCTCTGGGCTGAGAAGGGTGGAATATAAATACTGTAAAAAAAATAAATCAACCAATCAACCAATTAGGAAATTGCATTAAGAGCAAAGGAATACAAATAAAGACTAATTTCACTTAATGTAGCACAGTATTATTGTACTTATAGAGATTTTGTGAATACCACAAGGAAGGTAAGTCTACTGTAAGGCCTCTTTAGTCAAACTTAGTCTCAGCCTCTTCTTCTCGCCACTGCTCTTAGAGGAAATTGGCATTCAAAATCCAGAAAGGACTATGGTTTGCTCCATCATGAACCGTTTTTGATGTTTTTATTTTGCAACATGTGCCAAGGATTTCTGGGAGGAGTAAACGGAAAGAAAGGGGTTACAAAACTTGTGGTAGACGCACAAAACACTGTAATTCACTGATATGAAACACAAAAATTGGCTCCGAAGCCCTAAGAACGTCAGCGTCTGCACTTAATCAAAACCGAGCGGCAACGGAATTGACGAAAATATTGAATTTGTGCAAGAACCGCTGCGCAGTCCATATTGTGTTCTTTTGGAATCCAGCACCAGAAATACATTGAAAACAGCGACAATATTGGAAAACGTTTTTGTGTCGCCATGTGTTGATTTGACAAGGAAGGATGCTGCATTATAATCAAAGAGAACCAGTGGGTTGCTAAAAACAGGGGGCATCCACGCTGTAGAATGAATGTTGTTTGACACCACTTGCGCTGCTGTGGCTGAATGCTGTGGGATCCTGGGAGTTGTAGTTTGGTGAGGTACAAGCACAGAAGAGAATGGTAATGGGGATGAAACAATATGCTGCTACGGCTGAAAGCGCCAAGGAACTCAGGGCATCAGATGCTGCCTTGGCTCTCAATGCCTTTTCCTGGCACAAATTGGAAACCCTATGTTAAAATAATGCAGTTGCCTGCAACATGTTAACAATGATTTCTGTGACAATAGGGCAGTGAAGCCATGTTGTAAAAGGAGCCATCCAGTAAGAGGGGAAGAGAAGTTAGAATTGCGGGTGTGCCGTCGCTCCTGGGGCTATAACTCTTAGTGAAAGAGGCATGGACGTGACATCTTTCCCCCAGGGGACTGCTTCTTGCCCTCCTTTTGGAAAACTGGAACTCCCAAGGACCAAAACACTGTAGATAACTCAAAATAGGTTTTATTGTTCACAAAGAGTTATCCCTTTAAGGCAATAAGCTGGAAGTTTCAAAGGGGTAAAGGAAAATATACATTACAGTCTCTGGTTGTCTTGGGTCCAAGGAGTTTTGCAGCTGAGAAGCTTTTCCAGGTCCCTCTTTCTCAATAGCTGTGAATATTGGAATAATCCCAACCCCAATTCTAATGGCCTATATTTTGAAGGCACAAAGCCTTCCTCTGGTGCCAAAGAACTGGTTTGAAGGTGCTTGAGACTTCTCAACGTCATCCAGGTGATCTGGACATGAAGCATGAGTCCCAAGGGTAAAACCTTAGAATTGGTGATGAGAGGTAACTTAATTAAGGGCTTTAGAGCCAAGTCTCTTTCTCACGTCTATCTGATAGAAAGTTTGATGGTAGAATGGAAAAGGAAAAAGCTCTGCCCTCCTCCAGGAAGAGGTGGAGCCAAGCAATTGAGCTGAGGAAGCAATATAACTGGTGCAAACAACATTGATTGACAGCTATAAATAACCAATCAATCCAACAATACATTTGCAAACTAGGCAAGTTTGGGTATGTTATACAGTTTAAACCTTTGCACTTTAAAGTTCTACACACAGGTGGCGCCACTCGTGCCATCACAGCGGGTAATGAGGGCTCTGTGTGCCAGGTTTGACCCAATTCCATCTTTGGTGGAGTTCAGAGTGATCACTGAACGAACATTATATTTTATTTATATAGATATGTGTATATGCGTGTGTTTGTGTATATATATGGTTTTGTGGCGTTGTAATGCATTTTTGGGGTTTTTTTTTTTTTGCTTTTTAAGTCTCTTCTCCTGTGTTTTTATGAGTGATGGTCACTTGTTGGCCTGATAGGTGTATTGTGTCCAAATTTGATGTCAGTTCACCCAGTGGTTTTTGAGTTATGTTAATCCCACAAACAAACATTACATTTTTATGTATATAGATATAGATAGATGTGATTTGAATTGTCTCTTGATTTATTTTGACCCCATGAACTTTAGAAGGATTTATTGGGATCTGCCCTACTTTAAATTGCCATGGTTCAATATTATCTGCTTTGAGTCCAGTTGAAGAGAGGAAATTAGGATGTTGTTGTTGATAATAATAATAATAATAATAATAATAATAATATAACATTGTGTGAGTTGTAGTTTTCCAAGGTGTATTCTCAGCCAAAGCATACTGGTGCCCTACCAAAGTCCATGGTTCAATATTATCTACTTTAAGTCCAGTTGAAGAAAGGAAATTAGGATGTTGTTGTTCAATATGATGATGATGATGATGATGATGATGATGATGATGATGATAAAAACATTGTGTGAGTTGTAGTTTTCCAAGGTGTTTTCTCTGCCAAAGCATACTGGTGTCCCACCAAAGTACAACTTCCATGATTCCACCACATTCAGCTATGACTGTTAAAGTGATGCCAAACTGCATTAATTTTACAGTATGGATGCACCCTTGAAAGCATCACCTTTGCCTCTATACTGCAGAATTAATGCAGTTTGACCCCACTTTTAACTGCCATGACGAAATGCGATGGGACCCCATAGTTTGGGAGGGCACAAGGCCTTTCTTGAGCAGAGACACCGGAAGACCTTATAAAACTACTTCCCATGATTCTGTAGCATTGAGCCACAGCAGTTAATATGGGGTCAGTCTAGAGGATCTTCAGAAAGGCCTTGATCTGTCTCCGATCTTGCGGCAAACCCCGTCCAGGCTCTTCTCTGCGATCTGGCTTCGAGAGTGAAACTTGGGGAGTTTGGGGAGACATCTCTTTCTTTTGCTGGCAGGGGCCCCAGCGAAGAAGGCATCTCGGCAGCCGCCAGGGACCAATTGTGCCATTGATGGGAATGTCTGATGATTAACTTTTGGATGAAGTGTTTGCTTCTGCCAGGCATCCCATGTTTTATAAATGAGCAATTAAATGCAGGGGGGAAAGTGAGCAAGGGCTGGCGTGAGGAGGGAGCGCAAGATGAGATTTCTCTCTGAGCCTGAGCGTTATTGCTTCAAATTACTAGTAGCCACTTAGGTAGCAGATGTGGTACCTTGCAGCTTTCCTTCCACTTTTGCTCCCCTCCCTTTTCTTCCTCCCTCCTTTCCATTCCTCCACACTTTCCACCTCCCTCCCTCTCCTCTCCCTTACTGCTTTCCTTCCATCCATCCTCTTCCCACTCCCTCCCTTGCTTTTCTCCTTCCTTCCCTTCTCCCTCCTTCCTTTCTCTCTCCTCTCCCCTTTCTCCTCCCTCCCTCCACTCTTTTATTCCCTTCATTCCTTCCTCATCCATTCATCCTCTTCCCACTTCCTCCTTTACTCTTCTCCTTTCTTCATTTCTCTCTCTCTCTCTCTCTCTCTCGACTCCACTTCCTTCCTTCCTTCCTTCCTTCCTTCCTTCCTTCCTTCCTTCCCTCCCTCCCTCCCTCTGTCCACCCTCCCTTCTTCCCTTCCTTCTTTCTCTTTCCCTCTTCTTCCTTCTTTCCATCCACCCATCCTCTCCCCACTCCTTCCTTTGTTTTCCTCCCTCCTTCCTTTCTCTCTATTCTCCCCTTTCCCTCCTTCCTTCCTCCCTCCATCTCCACACTCTCTCATTAAGAGCCACATCCACTGTTTTAGTGTGGTGAGATGTGTTCCACACTGGGCATGCATACTCAGCAGCAGAGTAGCATAGCGCAAGGGCAGATGTCTTCACTGTGTCTGGTTGTGATCCCCAGGTTGTGCCAGTCAGCTTTAGTATGATGATTGTTTCTAGCGTCCACTTTTTGCTTGATGTTCAGGCAGTACTTCTCATAGAGCCGCAACACCACCTCTCCCCCCCCCCCCCACCCCCTTACATAACATTCCCACTGCCATCCACAGATAATGGCTGTGATTACCCAGGTAGTGCTCTTGTCAGTCACTGTGATAATGCAGCATGTTTAGTTAAGAGCCACATCCACTATTTTAATGTGATGGGATGTTTTCCACACTGGGCATGCATATTCAGCAGCAGGGTAACAAAGAGCAAGGGCAGATGTCTTCACTGTGTCTGGTTGTGATGTCCAGGTTGTGCCAGTCAGCTTGTGATAATGCGGCATGTCTCATTAAGAGCCACATCCACTGTTTTAGTGTGGTGAGATGTGTTCCACACTGGGCATGCATACTCAGCAGCAGAGTAGCATAGCGCAAGGGCAGATGTCTTCACTGTGTCTGGTTGTGATCCCCAGGTTGTGCCAGTCAGCTTTCATATGATATTGATTGAGAACTGAGCAATGATTCATGGTGTAAGAACCAAGTGGATACAAATCTGTCTTTGTTTTCGTCAGTGCCATGTCAGATGGCTGTCCTATTGTACACATCGGTGGTTCCTGAAATGGGCACCAATTCCTCTCTATGGCAGCATTTGGGTTTGGATTTGATCCAGAGACGTGGACAAGTAGTTCTTCCCATTCTGAAAGTCTGAAATGCCTCTCCTCAGGAAGAACTGGAAGGCAAAACATGCTAGTTTGCACCGGAATCCAACCTCTGAGAACATCTCTGAACTTAGTAGAAGTAGGTTCCTCACCTTTGGATGACTCCATCATTCATTCCAAGCTTCTTGAGTCTCTTTGGACTGTAGTTGCTTTGCTTGGTGTTACATGAAACCTCTTTTCTTTCTGTTTCTCCTCTTTCCGCTCCCTCTTCCCACCATTAGGATCCTTGCCACAGCTGGGACCCAGTTTGATCTACGGACTCTGAGAGCCGTGAGAGTACTGAGGCCGCTGAAGCTTGTCTCAGGAATCCCAAGTGAGTATACATTGCCTGGGGATGGTGGGAGATGTAGTCAAACATATCGATACTGTGGCAGGTTAGGGAAGACTCTCCAGTGGAGACATTTAGCCGGAACATGGAACATGTCCTCTCTCCTTCTGAGATTTCCTGGGAGCTGCAGCCTGAACAAATCCGGGGATTCTGGGAGTTGAAGTCCGAAAGGAATATGGAGATCTGGAGACTGTTATTTGTGATCTTTGCAATGACCGTTATGTACCAGAACAGCATTTCTCAACCTAAGGGGCGAGACACCTGGGGGGTTTCAGAGGGGTCGCCATAGACCAGTGCAAAACATGTATTTCTGATGGTCTTAGGAATTCCTTTGGATGAGAAAACTGAAGATCTCTCGGCCTGTCCTTCTCTTCTTTTTTGGAAACAGGTGGCAAATCCTCACACCAAAAACGCTCCTCCACTGTGATTGACCAGCCTCTCAGCCAAGGGGAGGGCTGTTTCTGAGACTTCAAACAGGGAGGGGAGAGCAAGCATGTGTGGTGCGCATGTGCGGGTGAGGGAGAGTGTGCAAGGCTGGAGGGAGGCTCATACCAATAAGTTCCTTCAAGGCATGGAGGTTCAGTGTGGGAAGTTTGGCCCAATTCTATCGTTGGTGGGATTCAGAATGCTATAGGTGAACTATAAATCCCAGCAACTACAATTCCCAAATGTCAAGGTCTAATTTCCTCAAACTCCACCACTATTAGCATTTGGGCATATCTGAGTGTTCATGCCAAGTTTGGTCCAGATCCATCATTGTTTGAGTCCACAGTGCTCTCTGGATGTAGGTGAACTACAACTCCCAAACTCAAGGTCAATGCCCACCAAACCCAGTATTTTCTGTTGGTCATGGGAGTTCTGTGTGCCAAGTTTGGTTTGATTGCATCATTGATGGAGTTCAAAATGCTCTTTTGTAAGTGAACTATAAATCCCAGCAACTACAACTCCCAAATGTCAAGATCTATTTTCTCCAAACTCTACATTTGGACATATTGAGTATTTGTGCCAAGTTTGGTACAACTCCCAAATGTCAAGGTGTATTTTCCTCAAACTCCACCACTATTCACATTTGGGCATATTGAGTGTTCATGCCAAGTTTGGTCTAGATCTATCATGGTTTGAGTCCACAGTGCTCTCTGGATGTAGGTGAACTACAACTCCCAAACTCAAGGTCAATTCCCACCGGACCCTTCCAGTATTTTCTGTTCATCTTGGGAGGTCTGTGTGCCAAGTTTGGTTTGATTCCATCATTGATGGAGTTCAAAATGCTCTTTGATTGTAAGTGAACTATAAATCCCAGCAACTACAACTCCCAAATGTCAAGGTCTATTTTCCCCAAACTTCACCGGTGTTCACATTTGGGCATATTGAGTATTCATGCCAAGTTTGGTCCTGATTCATCATTGTTTGAGTCCACAGTGCTCTCTGGATGTAGGTGAACTACAACTCCAAAACTCAAGGTTAATGCCCACCAAACCTTCCAGTTTTTTCTGTTAGTCATGGGAATTCTGTGTGCCAAGTTTGGTTCAATGCACAGCGGAGCAGGTCAATGCCCACCTAACACTTCCAGTATTTTCTGTTGGTCATGGGAGTTCTGTGTTGATTCAATTCTATCATTGGTGGAGTTCAGAATGCTCTTTGATTGTAGGTGAACTATAAATCCCAGCAACTACAACTCCCAAATGTCAAGGTCTATTTTCCCCAAACTCCACCAGTGTTCACATTTGGGCATATTGAGTATTCATGCCAAGTTTGGTCCCAATCTATCATGGTTTGAGTCCACAGTGCTCTCTGAATGTAGGTGAACTATAACTCCAAAAGTCAAGGTCAATGCCCACCAGACCCTTCCAGTATTTTCTGTTGGTCATGGGAGTTCTGTGTGCCAAGTTTGGTTCAATTCCATCATTGGTGGAGTTCAGAATGCTCTTTGATTGTAAGTGAACTATAAATCCCAGCAACTACAACTCCCAAATGACAAAATCACCCCCAACCCTATCGGTATTCAAATTTGGGTGTATTGGGTATTTGCGCCAAGTTTGGTCCAGTGAATGAAAATACATCCTGCATATCAGATATTTACATTAGGATTCATAACAGGAGCAAAAGACCTCAACAATGCTTCCTGGCTCAGGAAAATGGTCCTTTCAGCTCCGGAGCTTCCAAGCAGCTGGCTATGTGACTGCAGCTTTTGTTTCATTCTGCAGCGTCTGCATAAAATTATCTGACTCTGCCGTCTCCTTGACTTCGGAGGCACTTATCTCTCTCTCTCGATATAATTGAAAATGTATCTAATGCTGGAGAAGGGCATGGCGGTTGACTGACCCAACGGGAGTGACGAGTGGAGTGCCATAAGCAGGGCTCCGTCCTGGGCCCGGTTCTGTTCAACTTCTGTATTAATGACTTAGACCAATGTTTCCCAACCTTCCTAATGCCGTGACTCCTTAATACAGTTCCTCATGTTGAGGGGAACCCCATGGCATGCCCAAATGTGCATACCAGTGTTTGATTTTGTCATTTGGGATTTGTTGTTGCTGGGATTCATAGTTCCCCTACAATCAAAAAGCATTCTGAACTCCACCGATGATAGAATTGAACCAAACTTGGCACACAGGACTCCTAAGACCAACAGAAAATACTGGAAGGGTTTGGTGAGTATTGACCTTGAGTTTTGGAGTTGTAGTTCACCTAGAGCAAAGTGGACTCAAACAATGCTGGATCGGGACCAAACTTCACACACATACTCATTCTGCCCAAAAGTGAACACTGGTGGAGTTTGGAGAAGATAGCCTTGACATTTGGGAGTGTCAAGCTGGAATGTGTCCAGAGGAGGGCGACTAAAATGATCAAGGGTCTGGAGAACAAGGCCTATGAGGAGTGGCTTAAGGAGCTGAGCATTTTTAGCCTGAAGAAGAGATGGCTGAGAGGGGACATGATAGCCACGTAAAAAGGAATGTGTCCAGAGGAGAGCGACTCAAATGATCAATGGTCTGGAGAACAAGCCCAGTGAGGAGCGGTTTAAGGAGCTGGGCATGTTTAGCCTGAAGAAGAAAAGGCTGAGAGGAGACATGATTAGGGCCATGTATAAATATCTGAGAGGAACTCATAGGGAGGAGGGAGCAAGCTTGTTTTTTGCTGCCCTAGAGATTAGAACAGGAAACAATGGCTTCAAACTAAAGGAAAGGAGATTCCACCTGAACATTAGGAAGAACTTCCTAACTGTGAGAGCTGTTCAGCAGTGGAACTCTCTGCCCCAGAGTGGTGGTGAAGGCTCCTTCTTTGGAGCTTTTAAACAGAGGCTGGGTGGCCATCTGTCAGGGGTGATTTGAATGCAATATCCCTGCTTCTTGGCAGTGGATTGGACTAGATGGCCCATGAGGTCTCTTCCAACTCTTTGATTTTATGATTCTGCTGGGATTTATAGTTCACCTATAATCAAAGTGCATTCTGAACCCCGCCAAACTTCCCACACAGAACCCCCATGACCAACAGAAAATACTGTGTTTTCTGATGGTCTTTGGTGACCCGTCTGACACCCCTCATGACCGCCCAGGGGTCCCGACCCCCAGGTTGAGAAACACTGACTTAGGGGAAGGGTTCGAATGCATGACTATCAAGTTTGCAGAAGGGACCAAATTGGGAGGGAGAGTTTGTTTCCTCCCTTTGAAATTCTCAAAGCTGAACAGTCTTTCTGTCCAGAATAAGTAGAGGTTTGGAATCTCCAAATAGAAATGCATGGATTACCAATGCCACTATGAAAAGTAACTAATAACTGGGGATGGCACCACTGTAAAATGTGAGCTTCCAAGCTCTGTGTGCCTTCGCGCCTGGGGGTTATAACTCTTAGTGAAACCCCCCAGGGGATTGCTTCTTGCCCTCCTTTAGGAAAATTGGAACTCTCAAAGACCAAAACACTGTAGATAACTCAAAATAGGTTTTATTGTTCACAAAGAGTTATCCTTTTAAGGCAATAAGCTGGAAGTTTCAAAGGGGTAAAGGAAATATACATTACAGTCTCTGGTTGTCTTGGGTCCAAGGAGTTTTGCAGCTGAGAAGCTTTTCCAAATTCCCTCTTTCTCAATGGCTGTGAATATCGGAATAATCACAACCCCAATTCCAATGGCCTATATTTTGAAGGCACAAAGCCTTCCCTCTTTCTCAATGGCTGTGAATATCGGAATAATCACAACCCCAATTCCAATGGCCTATATTTTGAAGGGACAAAACCTTCCTCTGGTGCCAAAGGACTGGTTTGAAGGCGCTTGAGACTTCTTAACATCATCCAGGTTGATCTGAACATGAAGCATAAGTCTGAAGGGTAAGAACCTCAGAATTGGTGCTGAGAGGTAACTTAATCAGGGGCTTTTAGAGCCAAGTCTCTTTCTCACGTCCATCTGATATAAAGTCTGATGGTGGAATGGAAAAGGAAAGCGCTCCCTTCCTCCAGGAAGAGGTGGAGCCAAACAATTGAGCTGAGGCAGCAATATAATGGGTACAAACAACATTGATTGACAGCTATAACTAACCAATCAATCCAACTATACATATACAGGGTAAAAGGGCAGGATTAAGCATGATACAACAGTTTAAATCTTGCAACTAACAGTTCTACATATAGGTGGTGCCACTCGTGCTGTCACACTCTGCTAGATACCATATTTTAAGTAAATGCTTCCTTCTGCAAAGGTTGACTCTGCTTGGGCCTTCTTGTTTAGGTTTACAGGTTGTCCTCAAGTCCATCATGAAGGCGATGGTGCCTCTTCTTCAGATCGGGCTCCTCCTCTTCTTCGCCATTGTGATGTTTGCCATCATCGGACTGGAGTTCTACATGGGCAAGTTCCACAAAGCCTGCTTCTCCAACGAAACAGGTGAGATGCCACGTGGATGCTCTCCAACTTAGCTTGATGTGGTGCTTCCCATTCCACATACAGAAGCCCCATTCTCATGCTTTTCCGATGCAGCAGTTTCCTTTCTGAATTGAATCAAAAACATTGGCAGATTGATAGGTCTCAATTCCCGAATCAGGGATGTTTCAGCAGCATGGGAAACCTGGGACCAGCTGTCTCCCCAACGTCACAAACTGTGAGCCTGAATGCCTCTGCCTTTCTCTGCAGCCCTTCTCAAAATAGTGGGAGGAAGTATCACTTTGTACCAAGCAGGAAAGGAAAGTAAGTTTGTTTTGGTGGGCAAGATTGCTTTAGATGCATCATCGGTGGGGTTCAGTGTGCTCTCTGGCTGTAGGGTAAACTACAACTCCCAGAAAGGAAGGTCAAACCCCACCCCCCAAACCCCTCCAGTAATCACATTTCAACATATCATGTATGTGTGCCAAGTTTGGTCCAGATCCATCGTTGTTCAGTTCACAGTTCTCACTGGATGTAGGTGAACTACAACTCCCCCAAATCTAGGTGAATTTTCCCCAAAGACCTCCAGTATTTTTTGCTGGTCATGGAGGTTCTGTGTACCAAGTTTGGCCCAATTCTGGTGGGGTTCAGAATTCTCTTTGATTGTAGATAAACTATAAATCCCAGCAACTACAACTCCCAAATGTCAAGGTCTATTTTCCCCAAACTCCACCAGTGTTCACATTTGGGCATATTGAGTTTTCATGCCAAGTTTGGTCCAGATCTATCATTGTTTGAGTCCTCTCTGGATGTAGGTGAACTACAACTCCAAAACTCAAGGCCCATGAAACCCTTACAGTATTTTCTATTAGTCTTGGGAGTTCTGTGTGGCAAGTTTGTTTCAATTCCATCACTGGTGGAGTTAAGAATGCTCTTTGATTGTAGGTGAACTATAAATCACAGCAACTACAACTCCCAAATGTCAAGGTCTACTTTCCCCAAACTCCACCAGTGTTCGCATTTGGGCATATTGTGTTTACATGCCAAGTTTGGTCCAAATCCATAATTGTTTGAGTCCACAGTGCTCTCTGGATGTAGGTCAACTACAACTCCAAAAGTTAAGGTCAATGCCCATGAAACACTTCCAGTATTTTTTGTTGGTTATGGGAGTTCTGTGTGCCAAGTTTGATTCATTTCCATCATTGGTGGAGTTCAGAATGCTCTTTGATTGTAGGTGAACTATAAATCCCAGCAACTACAACTCCCAAATGACAAAATCAATCCTGCCAGTATTCAAATTTGGGCGTATTGGGTATTTGTGCCAAATTTGGTCCAGTGAATGAAAATACATCCTGTATATCAGATACTTATATGATGATTCATAACAGTAGCAAAATTACAGTTATGAAGTAGCAACAAAAATAATGTTATGGTTGAGGGTCACCACAACATGAGGAGCTGTCTTAAGAGGTCATGGCATTAGGAAGGTTGAGAACCACTGAGTTATAAGGATTTCATGGCACAGATCAAGGATAGTGATGGTGTTTGCAGGAAGTTTGTAGCTAGATCATGGAGCTTTCCTGTAACCAGCCTCCCTTGAGTACCCAGCAAGGCAAACATTGTTCATCTGACCAGCCTCTGGTAATCTCCATGGAGGCATCTTGAACGTGACCCGGCCTCATTTGTGCAAAGCAATGTGAGTCTCCTCTTGTGGAGCAGCAGTCCTTCCAAACAGGCAAAAGTAGGTCAGGGAGAGAGCTGTCAGACAAGACCGTCTTGCAGAATATTGATGGGATGGGAAGGAAGAGTCAAACAATGGGGACTGATTTCTGAGATAGGGACCACAGTGCAGATCTCTTCGCCATTGGGTCTTCAGGGGGAAGGAGAGCAGATGAGATGCTCAGGGAAATGTGAAGTAGTGGAAACAGTTTTATGGGGGAAGACGAAGGTGAGCAACACCACCCTTGTCCAGGTCATTAGACATAAACATAGGGATTCTATGTAACTACGTTGAATCCACAAACAACTTACAGTTACATTGGCTAACAAACAAGGAAGGGAATTGGATTTTTTACTCAGCATTCATACTACCCATACACATCCATTCATTCTCATGCATCCTAGAATCATAGAATAATAATAATAATAATAATAATAATAATAACACTTTATTTGTACCCGCTATCATCTCCCCAAGGGACTCGGTGCGGCTTACATGTGGCCGAGCCCACAACACAACAATACAAGCAATAAACAACAATAAAGCAATTAAAAAAACATAGACAATAAAATACACAACATTATCAATTAAAAACCGTGGGAAGGCCAAATGTAGAGTTAAATTGGAAATAATGCTGGGACATGAACGAAAGGTGATACTGGTGTTTGTGGAAGGGCATACGAGCAGACCTAAAGAAATGTAAAGTGCTTTGGAGGACAAAGTGCTATGGGATCATTATTCCGGGAAGGCACACTGGAACAGCCACGTCTTCAAGCTCCTCCTGAAGACTGCCAGAGTTGGGGCTTGTCTGATGTCTTTAGGGAGTGAGTTCCAGAGTCGAGGGGCCACCACCGAAAAGGCCCTCTCTCTCGTCCCCACCAATCGCGCCTGCGATGCTGGTGGGATCGAGAGCAGGACCTCTCCGGATGATCGAAGGGATCGTGTGGGTTCATATACAGAGATGCGGTCATGCAGGTAGGCGGGTCCCAAACCGTTCAGGGCTTTGTAGGTAAGAACCTGCACCTTGAATTGGGTCCGGTAGATGAATGGCAGCCAGTGGAGCTCCTTGAACAGGAGGGATGACCGCTCCCTGTAAGGGGCCCTAGTTAACAACCTGGCTGCCGCCAGTTGGATCATCTGAAATTTCCGGGCCATTTTCAAGGACAGGCTCATGTAGAGTGCATTGCAGTAATCCAGTCTAGAGGTGACTAAGGCGTGGAGTTCATAGAGTTGGAAGAGACCTCATGGGCCATCCAGTCCAACCCCCTGCCAAGAAGCAGGAATATTGCATTCAAAGCACCCCTGACAGATGGCCATCCAGCCTCTGTTTAAAAGCCTCCAAAGAAGGAGCCTCCACCACACCTGGCAGAGAGTTCCACTGCTGAACGGCTCTCACAGTCAGGAAGTTCTTCCTAATGTTCAGATGGAATCTCCTTTCTTGTAGTTTGAAGCCATTGTTCCGTGTCCTAGTCTCCAGGGAAGCAGAAAACAAGCTTGCTCCCTCATCCCTGTGACTTCCTCTCACATATTTATACATGGCTATCATGTCTCCTCTCAGCCTTCTCTTCTTCAGGCTAAACATGCCCAGCTCTTTAAGCTACTCATCATAGGGCTTGTTCTCCAGACCCTTGATCATTTTAGTCGCTTTCCTCTGGACATATTCCAGTTTGTCAATATCTCTCTTCAAATGTGGCAGACTGGAGGAATCTGGCCCAGTCACCACTGTCTGTTCCTTGGGAAGGAGAGAGATGGTGTACCTTTGGAGAGTATCAGATCTGCTATAGGAAAGCAGAATTCTGGACACTTGCCTCCTTTTCTCGTGGGAAGAGAAAGGAATGGGTTTTTGGAATCATACATCTGTTGCAGGAAGTCAGTTTTTGACAAAGATCTGATCATTGACATTGTTCTTAGGGAAAGAGGGTATATTTTGGAGTTTTAGAATGCTTGTCTGTTCTTAAGGTGAAAGGCACATGTCTGTATTTTAGATGGATTAGGGATCAACTGGTTTTCCCTATAATAGGCAGTAAAAGCACCTAGAGCTTCGGAGAGCTTCTGTTCAACCATCTCAAAGCTTCCTGCTTGAGCAGTAATGGCACGATCATCAGCATAGATGAAGCTCTCTGTCCCCTCTGGCAGTGGCTGGTCATTTGTGTAGATGTTGAACATGGATGGAGCAAGCACACTTCCCTGAGGCAGGCCATTCTTCTGTTTCCGCCATCTGCTTCTCTGGCCCTGAAACTCAACAAAAAAGCTCCTGTTTTGTAGCAGGTTTCCTATGAGGCAGGTGAGACTGTATCTTCCTTGATGATTTGGGCAAGCAACAATGTGGGTTATGCCAGTGTATGCGCATTTTGGGATATTGTGTAAGGAGGTACCTAACTTTTTTCATAGAAACATCTAGCAAAAAAAGTTGATCACCTTCTGAGTTGGTTACATGGTTGAAATAGCTTTTACTTGAGGCTCTGAGAAATTCTCATTTCCATGATATTTGGGATTGCTTGCGTTCTCAGAATCTGGAAGTTGTCGCTTTTGTTATGTTTGGCAGTCCCCTGTACCCACTCCCTTTCGGCCTTTACTTCTACTTGCTTCTTCTTCACAGGAGAGAGGCTGGGAGATTTCCCATGTGGAGAAGAGAAGCCTGCCAGAATGTGTGATGTCGGAATATGCAGGAAATACTGGGAGGGTCCCAACTTTGGAATCACCAACTTTGACAACATCCTGTTTGCTGTGCTCACCGTCTTCCAGTGCATCACCATGGAGGGCTGGACAGACATCCTCTACAATGTAAGTGCAACTGGTGGGGCTGGTAATGCAGGGTCTGTAGATGTGTTTTTGGTTGTTTACAACCCCTAGTAGTTTCAAATCAAAGACTGATAGAGCTGGGAAGAGCCTTGAACCCAAAGGGAAGCATGATCGTGTTTCTACAACAGTTCCAAAGGCGCTATCCAAATCCTGCTATTGTCAAGTCGGGATTATCACTTGGAAAACTCATGTACAACCTTGAGAAGTTGTGAATATATTGCTATCAAAACTGGAGTAGATCCCCCAAATCCTAGTCCAGCTTCACATGCCAGAGGTTGTTTACAACCCCTAGTAGTTTCAAATCAAAGACTGATAGAGCTGGGAAGAGCCTTGAACCCAAAGGGAAGCATGATCATGTTTTTACAACAGTTCCAAAGGAGCTATCCAGATCCTGAACGCTATTGTTAAGTCGAGTTCAGCACTTGGAAAACTCATGTACAACCCAGAGCAGCTGTGAATATATTGCTATCAAAACTGGAGTAGATCCTCCAAATCCTAGTCCAACTTCACATGCCAGAGGTTGTTTACAACCCCTAGTAGTTTCAAATCAAAGACTGATAGAGCTGGGAAGAGCCTTGAACCCAAAGGGAAGCATGATCATGTTTCTACAACAGTTCCAAAGGAGCTATCCAAATTCTGAATGCTATTGTCAAGTCGGGTTCAGCACTTGGAAAACTCATGTACAACCCAGAGCAGTTGTGAATATACTGCTATCAAAACTGGAGTAGATCCCCCCAAATCCTAGTCCAGCTTCACATACCAGAGGTTTTTAGATGGACCACTTCTCTAGGCATTTGTCGGTCCTCCAGCATGAATATTGTGTCCGCTCAGGACAGAAGTTGACCATAATATTATGCCGAGAGATTCCTATCGAAGCGTAATGGATAGGATTTGTCTGGTTTGTATGTTTCCAGTGACAAATGTCTTGTATATGTTTAACTCAAATGGCATTTTCCCCCTCGTCAAGTCAGGTTCATCACTTGGAATACTCATGTACAACCCTGAGAAGTTGTAAATATACTGCTATCAGAACTGGAGTAGATTCCCCAAATCCTAGTCCAGCTTCACATGCCAGAGGTTGTTTACAACCCCTAGTAGTTTCAAATCAAAGACTGATAGAGCTGGGAAGAGCCTTGAACCCAAAGGGAAGCATGATTGTGTTTCTACAACAGTTCCAAAGGAGCTATCCAAACCCTGAACGCTATTGTCAAGTGGGGTCCATCACTTGGAAAAGTCATGTCCAACCCTGAGCAGTTGTGAATATACTGCTATCAAAACTGGAGTAGACCCCCCCAAATCCTAGTCCAGCTTCACATACCAGAGGTTCTTAGAGAGAACACTTCTCTAGGCATTTGTCGGTCCTCCAGCATGAATATGTGTCCGCTCAGTACAGAAGTTGACCATAATATTATGCCAAGAGATTCCTAGAGAAGCGTAATGGATAGGATTTATCTGGTTTGTATGTTTCCAGTGACAAATGTCTTGTATATGTTTAACCCAAATGGCATTTTCCCKCTCGTCAAGTCGGGTTCATCACTTGGAAAACTTATGRACAACCCTGAGAAGTTGTGAATATATTGCTATCAAAACTGGAGTACATCCCCCAAATCCTAGTCTAGCTTCACATGCCAGAGGTTGTTTACAACCCCTAGTYGTTTCAAATCTGATGGACTGATAGAGCTGGGAAGAGCCTTGAACCCAAAGGGAAGCATGATCGTGTTTCCACAACAGTTCCAAAGGAACTATCCAAACCCTGAACGCTATTGTCAAGTCGGGTTCATCACTTGGAAAACTCATGTACAACCCAGAGCAGTTGTGAATATACTGCTATCAAAACTGGAGTAGATCTCCCAAATCCTAGTCCAACTTCACATGCCAGAGGTAGTTTACAACCCCTAGTAGTTTCAAATCAAAGACTGATAGAGCTGGGAGGAAACTTGAACCCAAAGGGAAGCATGATAGTGTTTCCACAACAGTTCCAAAGGAGCTATCCAAATCCTGATCGCTATTGTCAAGTTGGGTTCAGCACTTGGAAAACTCATGTACAACCCAGAGCAGTTGTGAATATACTGCTATCAAAACTGGAATAGATCCTCCAGCTTCACATGCCAGAGGTTCTTAGAGAGAACACTTCTCTAGGCATTTGTTGGTCCTCCAGCATGAATATTGTGTCCGCTCAGGACAGAAGTTGACCATAATATTATGCTGAGAGATTCCTAGAGAAGCGTAATGGATAGGATTTATCTGGTTTGTATGTTTCCAGTGACAAATATCTTGTATATGTTTAACCCAAATGGCATTTTCCCCCTCTGTGAAGCTTACCTTAGTTGCAACATTTTGTGAAACTCCAGGAGGAACGGCGTGGAACAAAACTCCACCGATCAGCACAATAAGACATTCCCAGTTGTATTGTTTCCAATCAGCTTGGCTGGTCTTTTGAGCAAGGAAATGTGCTGCCTCAGGAATTTATATACAGTCTTTGGAAACAAGGCACTGCTATATCGATGTGAGGAATATAGATGGGTTGAGGAACTTTGTAGCAAACGCCTCGATGTATCCAAAGATTGGCATGGCAGCCATTCTGCCTCCGGTGTCTCTTTTCCAATCTCTCGCCCTCTGATAATAAATTAAAGGGTTATAAAAAGGCAAGCAGATGGATTGGAGGTTCTCGCTGAACACACAAATCTTTGTTCCTCTTTGCTCCGTTTGTTCGTGCCTTAAGCTTTCGGGGAGTTTCCACCCCTCCCTTTTTTTTAATTGAAGCCGATGAAAGCTTTCTAAGCAAGACATTATCTGGGAAGTGATTTATGCTGGAGACAGAGAGATTAAACCATCAATGAGGCAAAAAGGTTTGAGGGGACACAGGGGAGGGGAATGTCTATTCTGGAGGCAGCCTCGTAAACTTGGCGGCGTCATCGGTTTTGTGGTCATGGAGTAGTGGGTCTGGGGGCAATGAATGTATGACCCTCGGAGAGGCATATGGGTAGCATACTTTATAATATACTTTATTTATATTCCGAGGGGACTCAGGGCAGATTACAGAACACATATATGGCAAACATTCAATGCTGTCATACAATTAACAAGGACAGATGATACATAAACAGAGGTAAAGGCTTTCCCATCTTTTCCCATTTCTGTCATCTGGAGGCTGTGCTCAACTCTGGCCACATGGGGTGCTGTCACTCCATCTTTCACATCTTCGATGTAGACATTCTCCCAATCAAATCACCTTTTATTACCTCCCTACTTTTATTACCTCCCTGCTTAAAGCGGTAACTATTTATCCACTCACATTTCTATTTTCGATCTGCTAGGTGAGCAGAAGCTGAGGATGATGGCGGGTGCTCACCTGGACCCGGGCTTGAACTGCCAAGCTTTTGATCTGAAGCTTAGAGGTTTAATCTGCTGTGCTAAGACCAGCCTTGACCTTTTGGGTCCTGAGTAAAAACATATTATTTTAGACATTTGATCAGGCTTCTGCAGGAATAACTCTGTGTCTAGTCCTGGGCACCACAATTCAAGAAGGATATGGATAATTTATTTATTTAATGCATTTTACCCCACTCTATCTCAGCCCAGAGACGAGGTTCCCAATCTGGCAGTTATTCAATTCCACATTGAAACATGAAAGCCAGTTGCGCCCGTACCCTGGGAAGTCAGATCTGGCCTCAGTGGTCCACGCTCTTGTTTCATCCCAAATAGATTACTGCAACGCACCCTACGTGGGGTTGCCTTTGAAGACTGTTCGGAAACTTCAATTAGTCCAACGGGCGGTGGCCAGATTACTCACCGGAGTATCATACAGGGAACATACCACCCCTCTGTTATGTCAGCTCCACTGGCTGCCGTTCCAGTTCCGAGCACAATTCAAAGTGCTGGTTTTGACCTACAAAACCCTATACGGCTCCGGCCCAGTGTACCTGTCTGAACGCATCTCCTTCTACGTCCCACCTCGGAGTTTAAGATCTTCTGGAGAGGCCCTGCTCTCGGCCCCACCTCTGTCACAAGTGAGGTTGGCAGGGATGAGGAGCAGGACCTTCTCGGTGGTGGCCCCTCACCTGTGGAATTCGCTTCCCGGGGAAATTAGGTCATCGACATCCCTCCTCTCTTTCAGTAGGAAACTAAAAACATGGATATGTGACCAGGCCTTTGGCTAATCTGGCAGACAGACAAAGGACAATGACGACTAGAATGGGATAGGATTATGACAATGCGGAATGAACTTATGGATTTCGAGCTTGGCGAACGTTGATCACTAGATTGGCTTTTATTAGTTGTATTGTATAACTGGATTGTTTTAATTATTTATAATTGTTGCTGCTATGTATTTTATCTTACTATGTGTATTGCTTGCATCGAATTGTGCCTTTTGTAAGCCACCCTGAGTCCCCATTCGGGGGTTGAGAAGGGTGGGATAGAAATGCTCGAAATAAATAAATAAATAAATACAAATACACAACACATTAAATATTAAAATCAGAAAATAAAACATATACATACAATTAAATAACTGTTCAAAATATAGTACCTTAAATAACTGTTAAAAAGTCAATGTCATTTTATGCTAGGTGCTTTCCCTTCAGAGTTTTCTGTTTCACTTAATTCTTCTTCACTCGAACCCTTATCTAATGATGTTGTTTCTGGCTCCTGTGACTGACCTTGGAGCTCAGTTTCATTACCCTGGCCTGAATCTTCAACACTTTGGACCTGGCCTGAATCTGCATCCCTTTGAACCCCAGGGAATCTCACAACCCTTCTAAATAATCAGTGAACCCATCAGCCCTGGCTGCTGAGCTACAACACCGACTCAGCTGAAACAGGCAATGATGATGGCCTTTCCATGCGATGCACACATTTTCTCCAAGGAAACCTAACAAAGAAAAAAAACAGGAAAAACTCAGCATCTCATGGTGAGGATGAAAATACATCCATGTTAGCCGAGGATGGTGTGAAGGGAGTTCCTAAAAACAAGTTAATTC